CAGGGAAATTGGTGACCAGAAAAAAAGTGGCAATCTTTTTTTTATGATCAGATAACTCTAAGCATAATAAACTATCATTATGTCTTTCTTTTGTATGTGACTTGGAACTGAGAACTGGTTTTACAAACTTTTGCCAAATGACCCCACATTTTTTACTGTAGAAAAACCAGAAACCTGTCAGGTAGCTATTGTGCAAGACCAGAGGTTCTCTGACAGTGTCACGGCAGCCGCGGCACTAACTCTGGATTAAAACGATTATCCACTCAGCAAACCCTTACTAGGCACCGACCTTATCCTGGGCGCCACGCAGAGCACTGGGGAGTCAACGTGGGGCCACAACATGGCTTTTGTCCTATAAAGTCTGAGCGATGCCCTAGCCGGTTTGGCTCAGTGGATAGAGCATCCGCCTGTGGCCTGGAAGACCCTGGGTTTGATTCCGGTCAAGGGCACGCACCTCGGTTGCAGGCTCAATCCCTGACACTGGTTGGGCTGCATGCGGGAGGCAACCAATCGATGATGTCTCACATCGATGCTTCTCTCTCTGTCTCTCCCTCTCCCTTCCACTCTCTCTAAAAAAATCAATGCAAAAATATCCTCTGGTGAGGATTAACAACAACAACAAAAAGAAGGCTGGTGTTCTTGGAGAATCGACAGATCACAAGAAGCGTGTGGGGTTTCTTCTGCCACATGTAGCCAACGACCTGCGCCCAGAGAGGAGAGGGGATCACGCCTGCTAACGGGTAGGAGCCGAGTGGTCTTCCTCTTCTCACAGGAGAATATTTCCATCTCTATTCCGCGGCCGAGAACAGACTCAGAGCATGAATTTCACGCCTACATTTCGATGCACCTCAATGATAAACATATTAGAAATAACCATTTAAAAACAAACTAACAGCAGATTTTGTTTGTCTATTCTTTAAGTCGTGCACGGTCCGTATCTGGCTGTGGTGCATCTATAGAAGGTGCGTTTCTAACAAGTGCGACTCCCTTTCCTGAGGACCGCCAGCTGTCTGTCTGGAAGCAAGCGTGTTGGCCGTCCTGCCTTCCACCCCGAGCAGAGTGATTGTAAAATCATGCTCTCCTTCTGCACCTGCTTTGTTCTCTCCATCTCCCCTCTCACAGCGCCGCCTGTTGTAAAGCCCCACGTAGGAGTGGGAAGAACGAGTGCTGGTCTGTGCTGAACCGTGGAAGTGTTAGTCTATTGTCAGCTTCAGCACTCCCACCGAGCAAGGTATGACCTACAACATCTTCCCGGATTTTCTGCCTTTTTTCCTTTGACTAATGGAAACAAAGCTTTTCCCAAGGAGGCCAAATCCAGCCCCCATCCAAGTCTTAATTGACCGCACAAAGCACAACCACTGGGTCCTGGACAATTTCCAGGGGATTTTGTTCTTCAGCACTGGGCTGAGCCCCCAGGAAAGAAAACAAACAGACCCATCCACACACCACAGATGCTCCAACTCGGCTAATTTGGAACTCCGGTGACAGGAACGTTTCTATACGGTTGTAAACATATTTGAAGTGTTTGGAAGTTGTTTTAAATCCTAATATTTACAATGTCCGTCTTTGTTTTTTCTTCTTCTTTGTTTTCAAAATTCTCTCCTAATGAGAGACTACAGGAACTTTACAAACATGGAGTAACCATCAGATGCTACTGTCTGGGTTTCCAACTTCCAAATGATGGGAACGCACATCCACAGAAGCCCATAAAAGCCAGAGAAAAAACATAAGTGAATCCCTACACTCTACACAGAAACCAAGAGTCTTGGACACTCCATCTTAGAAAACTAGGTATTTCTAATTGGCAGCTAGATAATAACTTATACTTTTATTTTTTTATTTTTTTAAGCTCTGAAAAGAATGTCTTTTAAGTTCCAAGTATATAAAAGAGGCATAAATTATAAAATTATATTTTCTTCAAGAAAAAAGGGAATCTCGTTTTCTTCCCCATTAACTATTTGCTCCTTTAAAAAGTCAATCTAAAAATTAAACAACTCACTCTTAAACAACCAATGGGTCAAAGAAGACATTAGTATAGAATTTAGAAAATATCTGCAGACAAACAGAAATAAAAACAAAACATACTAAAACTTATGGGATGCGAAAAAGCAATATTAAGAGGGAAATCTATAGCCATAAACACATACACTAAAAAGAAAAAGGATCTCAAATCAACAACCTAATTTTAAAGCACAAGCAACTAGGAACAGAAAAACACAAAAGTTAGCAAAAGTAAGGAGATAATAAAGAGTACAGCAGAGATAAATAAAATAGAGAAGAAAAACAAAAAAAAATCAGTGAAATCAATATTTTTTTTAAAAAGTTCAACAAACTTGACAAATCCTCAGCTTGACTAAGGAAGAGAAGACACAACTAAAATTAGAAATAAAAGTTGTCACAGAAAAAAGATTATAAGAGACTACTATGAACAAATATATGCCAACAAACTGATAATCTAGAGGAAATGGATAAATTCTTCAATACATGCAACCTACCAAGACTGAATCAGAAGCAAATAAAAATTCTGAACACATCTATGATTGGACGGACACTGAAGCAGTAATCAAAACTCTCCCAACAAACAAAAGCCCAGGGCCAGATGGCCTCACTAGAGAATTCTACCAAATATTTAAAGAGGAATTAATACCAATCCTCTTCAAACTCTTCCAAAGAACTGAGGGGGGCAGGGGGGACACACTTCCAATTTCATCCTATGAGGGCAGCATTATTCTGATACCAAAACCAGACAAAGACACAACAAGAAAAACTACACAGACCGATATTCCTGATGAACATTGATGCAAAAATCCTCAACAAAATAAGACCAAACTGAACTGAACTGTACATTAAAATACTTATATATACCATGACCAAGTGGGATTCACATTTGGAAAGCAGGGATTGGCATATGAAAAGCAATCAATGTAATACACAACATTAACAGAATGAAGGACAAATAACAAATGTTTGTCTTGATGCAGAAAAAGTACTTGACAAAATTCAACATCCTTTCATATTAAAAATACTCAACAAGCTAGAATAGAAGGAAAATACCGTAACATAGTAAAAGCAATCTATGAGCAGCCCACAGCTCACATCATATTCAGTGGTGAAAGACTAAAAGCTTTTCTTCTGAGAACAGGAACAAAGCAAGGATACCCACTGTCCCCACTGCTAAACATAGTACTGGAGGTCCTCCCAGTGCAATTAGACAAGAAAATTAAATAAAGGCATCTAAATTAGAAAGGAAGACATAAAGTTACCTGTTTGCAGAGAACATAATCTTACATGTAAAGAACACTAAAGATTCCACACACAAAAATTTTAAAACTAATAAACAATTTCAGCAAAGTTACAGATAGAAAAATCAACACACAAAAATCAGTTGCATGTCAATACATTAACAACAGCTAATCCAAAAAGGAAATTAAGAAAACAACCCTATTTGCTATAGCATCAAAAAGAATAAAATACTTAAGAAAAATTTAACCAAGGAGGTGAAAGACTTGTACAAAAAACTACATGGGAGGAGATAGAAGAGGGTAAAGGGGGGATAAACGGTGATGGAAGGAGACTTGACTTGGGGTGGTGGACACACAACTCAATACACAGATGATGGATTATAGAATTATACACCTGAAACCTATATAATTTTATTAACCAATATCACCCTAATAAATTCAATTAAAAATAAAGAAAACGACAAAACATTGCTAAAAAAATTGAAAAATGATAAATGGAAGCACATCCCATATTCATGGATTGGAACTCTTACTACTGTTAAGATGTCTATCCTACCCAAAGTAATCTATAGAGTCAGTGTAATTCCTATCAAAATCTCAATGGCATCTTTTTGGTAAAAACAGAAAAAAACTGTAAAATTCATAAGAAATCTCAGGGGACCCCAACTAGCCAAAATAAACTTGAAAAGGAACAAAGTTAGAGGCCTCACACTTCCTGGTTTCAAAACATACTGCAAAATAACAGTAATCAAACTGCTGTGGTGTCTTTATTGGCATAAAGACAGATAATACAGACCAATGGAATCGAACAGAGAGCTCAGAAATAAACCGTTGCACATACGGCCAAATGACTTTTGACAAAGATGCCAGGACTACACAACGGGGAAAGGACAGTCTTTTCAACAAATGGTACATGGAAAATTGAATATCTACATGCAGAAGAATAAAGGTGGACTGTAACATGAAGGTTGTGGTAACCTGAATTTTGCCATGTGCCAAGTGTAGGCCTGGGAACAGCATTTTCTTTTGTACCTGGGTTATACCCCCATTTTTTTTTCAAAAGAGAATTGTAAGTAAAAAATACAAGACAGTACAGTGTAGTTTTAGCTAATAGGTTTTTCAAAGGTACTATGATTAAATTTTACAGGCACGTGAAATACGGCACAGGGAATAGATCAATAACATTGTAATAATGATGTACGGAATCAGCTGGGTATTGGACTTACCAGGGGAACATTTTGTAAATGGTATAAATGCCTAAATGCTATGCTGTACACCTGAAACTAATATAAAATAAAATAGAAATGTCAATGTAATTGAAAAAGTAAATAAATAAATAGCAAAAAATGTGATTAAATTTTAAAAAGCAGAATAATAAATCTATATGATTTCTATTATGGCAACACACCAAATATTATACTTTTACAAGCTTTAATCAGAGGAGAAATCGTAAAGTGTCATATAAGAACAGAAATACATTTTTTTAAAGATAGCCTCTTTTTAAAAATATTTTTTTTATTGATTTCCGAGAGGAAGGGAGAGGGAGAGAGAGATAGAAACATCAATGATGAGAATCACTGATTAGCTGCCTCCTGCATGCCCCCTACTGGGGATCGAGCCTGCCCTTGACTGGAATCGAACCTTTAGTCCACAGGCCCACACTCTATCCACTGAGCCAAACTAGCTAGGGCAGGAATACATATTTAAACATCTGAGATGGATTTCTTTTAGACTTCCTTTAAGTCACTTTGTGCCTACCTTTTGGTTATTGCCGGCATAGCAGTTTCTTTCCTGGTCCCGGAGGGGGACGGCAGAGAGCCACTGGGTTTCTTTGGTAACACGGTGCCGTTGTTGACGGTGGTTCTTAAAGGCAAGGTCTGCACCAGGGGTCTTGCTGTAAGACAAGCAGAAAAGGAAATCAGAACGCGCCCCTTGTCAAGGTACCTCTTTAAGATCCGTAGAACGGCTTCGATGTTTACCAATGCGAGCAAAAATGAACGAAGGTGCAAAGGCAACTAACTCAATGGGGATTTTTAACAAGTGGTGCTGGAACACAGAACCTAGACGCCACCCTCACACCTCATTCAGAAACTAACTCACAATGGACCACAGATCTAAGTGTCAAATGCAAAGCGATAAAACTTCTAGATGAAAACATGGGAGAAATGGGACCTGGGTTTGAAGATGACTTTTTTTTTTAGATATAACACCAAAAGGGCAATCCATAAAGAAAAAATTAATAGCTTGGACTTCATTAACATTATAAAAATTTTCGCTCTGTAAAAGACATTGTGAAGAGGATAAAAAGAGAAGTCACAGCCTGGGAGAAAATATTTGCAAATCACATAGCTGATAAAGGATTTGTACACAGAATACTAAAAAACACACACACAAAAAAAACCTCTAAAAACTCAACAGTAAGCAAACAAACAGCCCATTTAAAAAAAAAGGCAAAAGATCCGAACAGACCCCTCACCAAAGAAGATACACAGATGGCAAATAAGCATATGAAAAGATGCTCAGCATCTTTTGTCACCAGGGAAATGCAAATTAAAACAGTAATGAGCTATCTCTATACACCTATTAGGATGGCTATCCTCCAGAAAGCAGACAAAACACCAACTGCTGGGCAGGACCCAGCCACAGGAATTCATGCCTTGCTGGTGGATGCGAAAGTGTAGTCACTCTGGAAGACAGTTTGGCAGCTGCTATACATAGTCTGACCATACAATCCAGCAACTGAGTGACACGAGATATTTTCCCAATGATTGGAAAACTTACGTCTATATAAACCTGCATTTAATATTTATAGCAGCTTTATCCGTAACTGTCAACAACCGGAAGCAACCAAGATATCCTTCCACTGGTGAGTGGACAAACTCTGGTACGTCCATACAGTGGAATGTGACTTGGCAAAAAGGGCAATGAACCAATCCTTACGACAACATGGATGAGCCCTATTTCTATGTTGCTAAGTGAAAGGAGCCAGTCTGAAAGGCTACATACTGTAGCCTCCCATGACAGCCTATAAAAGGCAAAACTATAGGGACCAAGACCGGATCAGAGGTTGCCAGAGTTTAGCGGTGATAGCGGTGGCGGGAGGGGTTGACCAGGCACAGCATCGGAGACTTTTTAGGGTGGTCAAACTCTTCTGAACACTACTGTGGTGGTGAAATGTGACACTATGCTTTTGTCAAAGCCTAGAGTGAACTTGAATGTATGCAAATAAAGTCAATTAGGAGATGGAGGAACCTCAGGATGGGATGCAGATTGTGACAAAAGAATCTAACTTACTACAAAGATATGCTCCATCTAGCCTCATGGATGGGAGTGGAGAGGAAAGGTGCTGACAAGTAATCCTGGAAGTGAGGGGAGGAGGTAAGATTACAGAAAGAACTGCACGGAGCCCTGTATTCTACTTAGTAAAGTTGCTTCCCATGGGGGCACAATCCTGAAACCACTATACGTAAATACTAGATTGAACAGCTGAGCGAATGCCCGGAGGATGGGTGGAGCCAGGCTTCTCGCTGTCAGAGAGGGTGGTAAAGACCAGCAGGGGGCAGGCTGGAAGGAACAGGTGGTGATGGGGCTGAGGAGGAGCCGTCGGATGAAGCCACGTCTAGCTGGACAGAGCTACAGATACAAAATCGTAGACACGTGTGTGTACACAGGCTAGTGTAAACACATGGCTTTCCCAGCTCTGTCTGCTGAGAGCCTAAAGCAGGGACACCCAGTGCCCAAACCTTGGTTTCTAATATCATTCTACAGTGAAAGGAACAGGGCCCCCTGGGGAAATACCTGCATCTAGGGCAAGGGCAGGAACATACCACATGAGCCTGGAGCATCTTATAGTGTCAGAGAGTAAACTCTGGTGCCGTGTCACATATAGAAATTTTTTAATATTTGCAACCATAGTAAAACAAAGATTTATATTTTTGATATTTATTTTATATATTTAAATGCCATTTAACAAAGAAAAATCAACCAAAAAAATGAGTTCTCGTGTCACCTCTGACATGCGTGTCATAGGTTCGCCATCACTGATCTAGGGCCAGGGCAGGAACATACCACATGAGCCTGGAGCATCTTATAGTGTCAGAGAGTAAGGAAGTGCTCACAAAACAACAACAAAACCCCAAAACTCTGTATTGATGACGGCGAGTCAAAGGGAGGCGGGAGCCAACAGAAAGCCCCCGACGGCCAAAGCTGGAACAATTTGAGCAACAAAATAAATTAAGCTGCTTTGGATTGTAGCCCCAAGTTTAAAATAAATGCCACGAGTCCACACTGATGCACGTAAGTGACTGAGTGAATGACTGAAGGGGGAGAAGAGATAAACGCCCCACGTGGTCATCCCGTGTCTTGGCCTGGCTATCGGACTGCAGGCTCCCGGAAGTGGCACCTGTGACGACACCCCACCCAGGAGGTATTGGACATGTATTTGTGGACCCGGCTGCATAACAGAATCCCTGCTTCAGAGGAAAGGCATTATGTTGCCACTTCTGAGTCACTCCCTCGTTTGTGCCTTCGGGCCCAGTGGGCCTAGCACACCCCACGGGCAGTGTGACCGCAGGCAAGACCCCCGGGCCCATTTTCCTAACCCATCAAGTAGAGGCTTCAGTCTGCAAGCGCTCCAAGGGCGTCCCCTCCCGCTCTGAGACCTATGATCCTGACTCATGTGAGAACAGGCTCTGAAAAGCAGCACCCTGGTGGGTTCTCTTTGACTCGTCAACCCACAGGAAGTGAAAGGAGAAGAGTCCGAGGCGGAAGTGGACAGGCCCAGGGCGGGGCGTGGGGGAAGGTGAGGAGAACAGGGAGCTGGAGACCCAGGCACAGGTGTGGCACCGGGGCCAGCAGTGACTTGGCATACATGCAACAGAAGGTCCCCACCCTCTACCTGGAGTGAAACTCCTGCACACCACCCACAGGGTGCTGACGGGACTCTCTGGCTGTGAGGTATTCCGAATGTCAGGTCTAAAACGTGCACGTGCAGGCCTGAAAGGAGCATGTTTATCATCTTTCTAAGTGGTCGACTGGAGGAACCAGACTTCAAAAGTACTGTCCATGAGAATATATTTTCAAAACTACAGTTGATGCAAGTATGGAAATTCGAGTGTAGCTGGTCAAATCTACCAATGCCTATTGTGACACTGATATTAAGTTATAATCTAAGATCAAGACTGATATTAACAACTCAATGTGCAACATTTGATAAGTAAAACGTCCCACTAGGCCTAAAAATAAATTCAATTATGCAAAGCATGACTATGTGTGTGATTACATGTGAAATCCACAGTTTAGCTTTAGCATATCTGACCAGTGTGGACCTAGAATTCCCAATTACCTTTTTAAAAATTTAAAATATGTCTATATTTGGAATTGGAGAAGGCTACCTGCTTTTGCTAAATTGTAAGACAAAGTAGATAACTGATTAAGTGCTGGGGACGACTCCTGTCACCAATACCCAGGGAAACTGCAGAGGCTTCTAATTCTACCTTTGATCCAGTAACCCTACTTCCAGGAATCTACCCTAACGATGTGCTGGAATAATACAACATGGCATATGTACAATTATTTTTAAGTTATTTCTAAAACAAAGGACCGCCAATAGGGACTGGCATCAACCATGGCTCATCCCCACAGTGGAGTACTATGCAGCGATGTAAAAGGAAAGAGGTATTTTTCTTTCTACTTTTATATACATGTGAACATTTTCATAAAACAAAGTTCAAAAACAATCTTTCTTGGTCTCTGAAAAAGTGACTATACCTACTAACCCTTTTCTATAAATCACTAAAGCATTCCTACCTAAACTGGGGAGGGAGTGAGAAAACAGAAGGAACTGTGGTGTGCTCTGCTCAATAGAAAGCAGAAGTGACTTTCCCTAATAACTGATGGGTAAGGCGAGAGAAAAGGAGAAAGCACAGTCGACGGGAGAGAGGGGAAAAACGGCGCTGTAATTGTGGTTAACCAGGATAAAGAACTAAGTTCATGATTCTTTAATTTAACTCACTGCAAATTTGCTAGTTTTCTCTATCTAATAAGATTTGTGAAGGGACCATAACATAATCTTTCACACAATTATGTGCTGAATAGGATCTACTGTACTTGGGATACTTTTGCCAATCAAATCAGACCTTGAGAAAAGAGCCCTCATTCCCAGTCATATAGTTATGCATTTCTTAAAGATTTGACTTGATTTGCATAATGCAAATTTGAATAACATTGCTAAGAGGTGAGCACAGCAAAGCAGCATGGGTGGCGGAAAGAACCCCCTCATGCGTCCAGTGGCCTTGGGGTCCAGACCCAGATCCCCCCTCACTAGCTGTGTAGCCTGGGGCAGATTATTCCGTCCTGGAGGCTGCTGCCTCCTCTGTGAAATGGGCATGTTAATAGCTCCCTCAAAGGATTGTGGGAGGTGAAATGAACTGGTAGACCCAATATCTACTGCAAAGCCCAGCCCCTAGCGGCTAATGAGTGGTAGCTACGGTGACATTTAAACATCAGGAGAAGTGTCCGCAGCAGAGGCTACACTGTTAAAGATCACCAGCACCACCAGCAGGGGTGTTTGGTTATATTTATTAAGTCTCTGATCATCAATGAGGCTATTGATAAAAAAGTCTGCAAAGGTACATGAAAGTTTAACAAAAGGCAAGCTGTCCAATCGCAGCCAAATTAAAATGAGCAATAGGAGCTACTGGCTGGTTAATGTCAACAAAGCCCACGACCCAGATGCTGGGGCAACAACCATATTGCAACCCACATTTTACATGTAGAACCCCATGTGCTCTCCTGGCGCTGACAGGGAAGTTAGCCGAGCACGTGTACAATGGATCCGTTATTCATTTAACAAATCCGTGAAGCACGTGAGCCAACTCCAGCCCGGAAGTCAGCGGAGAGCCTGCTGCTTGCCTCAGAGCAGCGAAGGTCAGATTCGGTGAGAACGGAGTCACTATGCACCAAAGAACAACTAAAAGTAAAAAAGATTAGAAGCCAACTAAAATAAAAAAAAATAAAAAAAGAAAAGAAAAAGATCATAAAAAAATAAAAAAAGAAAAGAAAAAGATCATACTCCTACCACTGAGGGGAAAACCCGATAAATAACTGTTGGTATAGTTCTTTTAAATGTTTGCATAGATTTGGTCTATGTAGTTGGAATTACACAGTCTATACAGTTTGATATCCTGCTTTTGACTCCTAATATAATACATAATACATGAGCATTTTCGCTGTTGTTCCCAATCAGATATTTTTAAAGATACACAGCGTCCAATCAGGAGGTGCCACCCATCCAATTCCCCTTGTGCACAATGCCACAATGAACCCCTTTATTCACCAAGCGTTTTCTGTATTTACACTCATAATAGCAACAGATAAAGGGGTCAGTTCATGTCATTCTACCAGCAGTGAGTGCAGCCCCACTGCAACCACAATGCTGAGAAAACCTGAATACTAGCGAGAATTTTAGAACACATGCCCCGGTTGATTCTCTCTTCTCCGCTCTATGGTAAGCCACGTTCAGCAAATCTTCCGTCTGCACGTGGATCCAATGTGGACAAAGCTAACTTTGCAGGCAGACATTCTCTACAGTAAAGACACAGGCGAGGCAACCGGTTCTTAATATTAAAAAAATACATGAAAGGAAAAGGAAAAAGAGATAGCACGGTGTGGGGGCTTGGCTGAGTTTGGCTATAAGCCAGTATCGCTGGGCTAAGAAGAGTTGGGGAATGAGTGCAGTAGGCCATTCTAAGGAAGGAGAATATTGTAAAAAGGACGAGTAGCCCGAGACACACTCCCTCCACTTAAACTAGGTCCACAGGCACTTGTGGGGGTGGCCGCAGTCTTCCGTCTCAGGAAGCCTCGCACTTGATCTGAGTGAGTTATGTCGGGGACCGCAGTTCTCGTTGTCACACTGGTTAAGTCCTACGAGGAAAGACCAGGTGAGTCCCAGCTCGGACAGCTTGCCTCTCCTCGAGCAAGTGGAGAGGAACCAGAACGATCGTCCATGGCCTCGCAGGCCACGCTGAGGCCAGTGAGTGGACGGGGCAGTCCAACCACCGGGGACGGGACAGCTCACCCTGCACTTGCTCTGAGCGCTGGATGCTGACTGCGGCCCTGACTGCGGCCCAGCCCCCGTCCCTGCCGCTGCAAACAGCACAGGGATGTGCACTCAAGCTCAAGACAGAGCCCTCAGCTTTGACACCTAACCTTGGCGGGGGTGGGGGAGGATGGGGGTGGGGTGGGGAGGGGTCACTGAATATTTAAAAGTTAGAATGCCACGTGTCCAGGCTGGTTCAGGCCTGTATTAGGATGGCCAGCCAGAGTGAAGTGATAATAACGTAGCCTTTTAGAAACCAAAGGAGGTTTGTCTAAAGCCCATCTTCTCTAAAAGATGCCCCAACCAATCCAGGGCTGCGGAGTGCCAGCTTTCCAGGCAGGGGGTGCGCGTGTGGGCCAACGCGGGCCCTCGGAAGCAACAGCACCCAGAGCTGGTGAAGGACACCTCCTCCCAGCTCCAGCGTCCTGTGTGGAGGGAGCAGCAGGTGAGCCGGGAGAACCACCCCTCCCTCAGGGCTCCACCCCGCACCGGCCTCTGTGGTCTGTCTTCGTTTCTGGACATGACCTTCTGGCTGTTCTGCTTTGATTTCCTTTCACTTATAAAAAGGATGTTATAGGAAACACCAGCTCTAACCATGAAAAAAGTGATTTCTCCTAGGAGTTTTATAAAAATCAACCTTCACTCTTTTTTTAAATCCTCACAGGAGGATATTTCTTCCATTAATTTTTAGAGAGAGTGGACAGGAGGGAGGGAGGGAGGGAGGGAGGGAGGGAGGGAGGGGGGATATAACCTACAACTCAGGTATGTGCCCTTGACTGGGAATCAAACCTGAGATCCTTTGGGCACAGGCTGGCACTCCAACTCCTGAACCCCACCACCAGCCAGGGCGAACTTTACTGTGAATCAAGAAAAGATAACTCCTGGACAGCCTTCTCTTATTATCTCCCCCCGCTAATTTTCTAAAAATAAAGACATTGCACAAGTCTGGAGTTTTACATGAAGCAACTACTTCGAATGTACCCTTTAAGATACAGTAGTCATCACAATTATTTTTGGAAAGCTGAGTAGGTCAAGAATACCTAAAATAACCTGGTTTCTATTTAAAACGCCCGATTGCTTTGCCATTTAGTAGGAGAGAAAGATTACTTGAAAGAATTATTCAAAATGCAGACGTTGCTAACGTGTGTATCTCACAGGAGCTGGCGGTGACGACCCCAAAGCACAAAGAAATAGACTTCCTTCCACAGGAATGTGAACACAGCCGAGTCCTGGAGGAACAGCTCGCACCCGCGGGAGACAGGCCCCTCCTGACTCCAGGAAAGCATGGGAACTGTCAATCACCTGTCAAATTCAACTGAAATAAGAAAGTCCATTTTAAAGGGACATTACAGCCCGGCCGGTGTGGCTCCGTGGTTGGGCATCTGTATCTATGAACCAGGAGGTCAGGGTGTGATTCCTGGTCAGGGCACATGCCCGGGTTTCCGGACTCGATCCCCAGTGTAGGGTGCGCAGCTAGAGTCGATCAATGATTCTAATCATTGATGTTTCTATCTCTCTCTCCCTTCCTCTCTGAAGTCAATAAAAAAAAATAAAAATAAAAGAAAGGGACATTACAGGCCACAATCTCAAATGTTCTAAGCCAGTGGTTGTCAACCTTCTGGCCCTTTAAATACAGTTCCTCATGTTGTGACCCAACCATAAAATTATTTTCGTTGCTGCTTCATAACTGTAATGTTACTACTGTTATAAATCGCAACGTAAATATCTGATATGCAGGATGGTCTTAGGTGACCCCTGTGAAAGGTTCGTTTGACCCCCTAAGGGGTCGCGACCCACAGGTTGAGAACCGCTGTAAATCTAACTGAAGGAATTCCACAGACAAGAGGAATTTAATTCCGCTTCGGAGGGTGGCCACGAGGAAAAGTCATTCTGGCAGAAGGTGAGCCACGCGTATGGGCTGGAAGCAGACAGCAGGGCACCAACCAGCCGGACAGAAGCTGTCAGGAGGCAATTCATTCCCAACATTCCAAAAAGAAGGTCCTACCAAGTGACTTAAACAAAAACACTGCCTTTGTTATGTGTTGTTCCCAGTGCCCCGGGAAATGAAAGGAGTGTCCATTTCCCAGAAGCCCACGGGGCACAGGAGCCTGGGGGAGGCTGCGCTCACGGAGAGCAGAGAAGGGGATTCAGGGGAAACGGAGTTGCCCAGGAGGAGCTCACTAGCTAGTGTGTGTGCATATGTGCGCATGTGTGTGTGTGTGTGGGGGGGGGGGCAAGGATAAACCTCAGGGCTCTGAGCTCCTCAGGGAGGGCCCAGCTCCGAGCCTGGCATGCGGCCCAGCCTCAGGTGTAAGGTGAGCACTGAGAAGGGGCGGGGAGTTAGCCAACGCCTCCCAAGGGCACCCACGGGAGGGCGGGGTTTCTTGCAACCGAACTCTGTTCCAGAGAATCTGGATGAACAACTATTCTCATTCCTCAGCCCCCCGAGCATTTACTGGTCACCAACAACTGTCCCCTCTGGGCCGCACGTCACCGACATCAAGGAGAACACTGCCCTGCCCCTCGGGGTGACTGTCCACGCTGGGGCTGCGGCTGGGGCTGCGGCCGCGGCACTCTTTTTCTGCGTGTGGGTCCCTGTCAGTATCAGAGCAGTGCAGCGGCCCGGGGAGGAGCCGACCAGGAGACCGACCCTCTCGCACTCCTGGCGACGCGAACACCCACCTTTGGTAGGTCCTTTCCTGCTGAGCACGGCCTGCTGCTCCTCCGTGATGTTCAGCCGCCGCACCACGTCGGCCAGAGCCGACTTCAGCAGCTGGATGTCGTCCTCTTGCATCTGGACCCGCTGCTCCAGGGAGGCGATGCGGTCCGTCACCTCCATGCTACTTGCCGCGGAGGCGCTGTCATCTGAACCCAAGGAAAGGAGCAAGTGAGTCTCACGTGCACCCCAGGGAAGCCAGCCCGGCACACACGCCCAGCCCAGCCGTCGCTGCAACAGAGTAATTAAACCCAAAGGCGGCGGCCTCCCTGCAGAATCACCTGGAGCCTTTAAACAAAAGGCTGCACTTCCTTCTACTCGTCTCCCTCCACCTTGGGAGTGCTCCTCATTGTTTATTTATTTATTATTTTTAATCCTCACCTGAGGATGTGTTTTCATTGATTTTTGGAGAGATAGGAAAGGAGAAACATCGATGTGAGGGAGAAACATGGGTTAGCTCCCATATGTGCCCCAACCAGGAATCGAACCTGCAACCTTTTGGTATATGGGATGATGCTCCCACCACCTGAGCAACCCAGCCAGGGCAGGGCTTCTCATGTTTTAGGCTGTGTTGTAACTGCTACTGTATTTTCTAGATGCAGGCCGCCTTATCTCTTCCATGATAGCAGAGGACCTCGGAGGTAGCGGGGTATGGGAACCTGTCCATTTCAACTTCCCACACATGGCCCAATCCACGCACGGTCTCCCAGCTTTGGCTCCAACAATGCACAGGTAGGTCAGATAGTCATGAGGCCACACCACCCATCGGGCAAGACCTTTAGGGACTGGCTACGCAGACCAAGCAGTATGAGGGGTCATCTGTGCGGTGTACGTACCTGTAGGAACATGGTAACCACATTTTCTTGTACGGAATCTCTGGTCCCCATTCCTCCTGAAGGGGCACCAGGCCCTGGGTGATCTTCCCGCCTCCCTGACCCCGTTTATGTCGTCTCCCCTTGGGCACCACGCTGCGGCCGCGCTGACCTCCCTCCCGCCTGCAGCTTCTGTATCTGCTGCTGCCTTTGCCTGAAACATTTCTCAACCAGCTTTTCCCATAATCAAAGTCCTCGATCTTTGTGTCTCCACTCAAGTGGGAGCCCTTCAGAGAACCTTTTTAACAGCCTCACCTACGCTGCCACTTGGCAATACTTCAACCTTATCTCTTGCTTCAGAGCTTCACTGCAAACTCTGACTGCTCCTGTGCCTACTCACTGTCTCCGTCTCCGAGCTAAAATGTGCACATCAGAGTCGCTCTGCTTCCAGGTACAACAGACCCTGCTGGACAGCACCCCCTGCAGAAAGCAAGTATGAAGCCTGAAACACACATGACAGCTTCCTGAAGGTTCTAGAAGCGGACCCAGCAGCACAGACACTCTGATGGGGGTTTACATGCGCTTGGCGGAGGCAGATGGACAACAATGCAAGTAAATTCCCTCGTCTGTGGTGTTCAGCCAGAGGCAGGTGCACACGACGGGGGAGGGTACGTGTGGAAAACCCGTCAGAGTTTTATCCCTAAGAAAACCCAAAGTGAAGTCCAAAGACGGTGAACACTGAAGAGAGCGGGGAAATCCCAGGAAGGAAAAAGCCAGAGGGGATCCCCCAAACTGTCTATTCACAGGGTCCCACAGAGAGGGGATCCCCAAACTGTCGATTCACAAATAGGGTCCCACGGACTCAACCATCCAGCTAACTAACTACAAAAGATCCGGCTGGGACCGGAGCTGCAGCCTAGAAACGGAGCTCGCAGTTCAAGTCCAACGAGAAAGGTCCCCACTGAGACACAGGAAACAGTGCTCATTAGAGAAAACAGAAAACAGCATCTCTACCACTGAGCATTCATCACACCCGGGTGCAACCCAAGGACACTCAGGACATCGAAGAATCAAGATACGGAAGACATTCTCAAGAGAAGAGAAAACAAGTTGAGTACAAATCCAAAACGAACAAACCATTGGAGCTAACAGAAAACACTTGAATATACCCTTCTTTAAAAAACAAACAGGCCTTGGAAAATATGTTCAATGTCAATAGCCACTAGGAAGATGCAAATGAAACCCACAGTGAGATTTCACTACACAACTGTGGGAATGGTTCGAATATAAAATACTGACAAAACCACAGGCAGTGAGAATATAGGGCAAAGGAAGCTCTGCTACATGGCTGGTGGGCACACATAAAGGTATGCCACCCTGGAAAACGGTTTAGCAGTTTCTTATAAAGTTAAACGTATACTTATTACCATGTGACCTCGCAATCTAGGCACTGACTCTAGAGAAGTGAACACTCGCGTTATAGTGGCTCCATGCATACGTGGTAACGAGGGGAAGCAATTCAGGTGCGCTCCAACTGGTTCATGGACCGGCGGTGGTGCACCCATTCAGTGGAGTACTACACAGGGACAGAAAGGAGTGACCGATGGATACATGCAACAATTTGGATGGCTCTCCAGGCATTATGCTGAGGGAAGGAAGCGGGTCTCCAAGGTTACACACTGTATGATTCCATGCATGAGATTTCCACAAGATAGAGAGCTAGTGAAGAACAGATCAGTGGGTGCCAAGGGCTGGGGGAGGGGCACAGCACAAGGGCGTTTGGGAGAGTATAGAAAAGCTCTGCGTCCTGATGGTGGTGGTAGTTACGTGCATCAAGACTGTGTTAAAATACATAGAATTATCTCAAAATGAGAATTTTGTTGAATGTTAAGCTAAAAAACAAAATAACCTTTTGAAGCCCTGGCTGGGTAACTCAGTTGGTAAGAGTGTCGCCGGGATATGCCAAGGTTGCAGAATAGATCTTCAGTCATACAAGGGCACATACAAGAAGCAACCAATGAATACATAAATAGGTGGAATAACAAATCAATCTCTCTCTCTCTCTCTCTTTCTCTCTCTCTCTCTCTCCTTCCCTTTCTCCCTCCTCTTTTTTTCCTCCTTCCCTCCCTCCCTTCCATTCTCTTTAAAAATCAATGGAGCCCAGACAGCCTGGCTCAGTGGTTGAGCACTGACCTATGCGCGAGGAGGTCATGGTTGGGTTCCAGGTCTGGGCCCATGCCTGAGTTATAGGTTCAATCCTCAACAGGGGGCGTGCAGGAGGCAGCTGATCAATGATTCTCTCTCATCACTGATGTTTTCATCTCTCTCCCTCTTCCTTACTCTCTGAAATCAATACAAATATATATATTTGTGTGGGATTCCCAGTCTCATGGGAATATAACTTTTCGAGAGTCCAAGCAAGACCAGGTCTTCCCACTGGCTTTGTCAGCCAGGGGTTACTTTTGCTCGTTGAGGTTGGCTGCTATTATACCATCTCAGCAAAGGGACGTTTCAATGAAAACTGGTACTTGTAGCTCATTTGAGAGAGGCCGTCCTTACGTTCTGTAGCACATCTCGTGGAGGGACAGGTCCTGTGGGATTTCCCCACGTGTCCTCGGGCCAGCGTGGGAAAACAGGCAAGTCCCCCTTCATAACGTCACGCCAAGTGCGAGGGGGGCGAGCAGGACCAAAGGTCATGTTCCATCTGTCTTCCCTCTGAGGAGCTGAACAGCTGGATGAAATCCTCCAACGTGTGAGTAAAAGACGGGAGGACAAGTCTGTGTGACAGCTGCCACCTGGGATCCTGGGCCACCATACACCTCGCCAGGAAGGCTGTGGCCGCAGGAAGAAGGCAGGGAGGGGCCTCCTGAGCTAAGCCCTCGTTGGAGAGGACTTGCAGGAGAGGCAAATACTGTGGTCATTCTTAGCATGGACTCTGGGTTCAAATCCGCCCTCCTACTTGCCAGCGTGTGGTGTAGGGCACAGTGTTTCATCCCTCGGTGCCTCTGTTTCACCATTTGTAAAACAGGAACAACAGTTATCTAATGTTGTAACGTGAAATAAGTTGATATATGTAGAGCACTTAGGCCAGGGGTGGGCAAACTTTTTGACTCGAGGGCCACAATGGGTTCTTAAACTGGACCGGAGGGCTGGAACAAAAGCATGGATGGAGTGTTTGTGTGAACTAATATAAATTCAAAGTAAACATCATTACATAAAAGGGTACGGTCTTTTTTTTTTTTAGTTTTATTCATTTCAAACGGGCTGGATCCGGCCCGCGGGCCGTAGTTTGCCCACGGCTGACTTAGGCTATCCTTTCGCAGGTAGTAAGTGCTTTATGAATGTAAGCTGTGATTAGCGATTATTACTGATAAAAATTACCAAAGTAGATTCAAGTTGAACATTTCCTTGAAAATTCCTATATGCCGTCTAGACACCGACATGCAAAATAGTACTGAAAAATTAATTGGAAATCGGTGCTTTATTAATAATATGTGTTTTCCATGTCATAAAAGAATCTGGCACACAGACTCCTACGCGTTTCTGTCATCTCCTGGGGTGAGCAGACCGCGGCCGGGAGAGGGCCCCCTGCTCACTGCTGAGCCCAAGCACGCGGCTGTGGGGCCAGCACGGCCCCCAGGACTGCCTGGCAGCCTCTGTCCCACAGCCTTGTGTTTTCAAAACAATTACAACAACATATCAAGTGCGATAGGCCTGCTTTAAAAATTTATGGTGCAAAAGAGCATCCGTGTGGCCTCAGTTTGGTCTGCAGGTGGCTTTACTAAAACTGCATGCATCAGACTCTGTTTTCATTCCATTGCGAAATTTGTATAAGAAAAACTCATTTTAAAATTTTACCAAAAACACAAAATAAAAAACAACCCGCACCCCAAACCCAACACAAAAACCCGAACCACCTGAACACACCTGCTCTCAAATACAAGTGATTATAAACCGAATGTCAGACCCGGGAAGAGAACCTCCATTTATGAGACTGGCTGAGCTGTTCCCTAAGACACAACCCCGGTGCACCGCCGCTGCGTGACCCTGGGAACTGACGCTCCCGCAGGCAGCCCCCTCCGGACGGAGCGTGTGAGCGGCGTGGCGTTCTTACCCTTCGTGTGCACAGCCAGGCCAGGGTTCAAACGGCCTTACCCTCCAGTGCAGCCGGGAAGGGGCTGACTCACATAATGAAAAGCACAACCCAAAGCCTGGCTTAACCGACACCCCCTTTCCCACCTCTGAACCCGGCACAGGGTCCCGCAGCACAAGACGGGGGAGTTCACCTGAGTTCTGTCAAAGGAAACCTCATGAGACTGGGAATCCCACACAAAG